ATACATTTTCAATGTTAGGTGCAAATGGTAAACTATACAAGTTTGACAATTACTAGAATGAATTTATTTTTCTGTAGTTTTTCTTTTCTATGTAATGATTATTTGTATATTTTAGATTACTATATGGATTTACCTTAATGACATATGAACTTGGTCATCATTAAAATCATATAGACTAAGCACACTAAGTACTTAGGAAAGAAGATGTAAAACTTTTGTTTTTATGGATAATTAGAGTGGAGATTTACATATTAGAACAAGGAATAAGACATGTATTTTAAAAATTATTTTTTTTTGTCTCCTTCCATAGAATATTGCTACAAAGAAATGTTTTTACTATGATTCAGAATCACTTTTATTAAAATCTTAAATAATGAAATATATATTCTTCATTTTATGTACCTTACATTATTTATCATGTTCAGGGTGCAGTACCCCAGGGTAATGCAACAAAAGAAGCTGTCCAGCAGCTAGGGTTGCAGGAAGGACAAGTTGTATATAAATGTCCTAAATGCTGCTGCATTAAGCCAGAAAGAGCTCATCATTGTAGTGTTTGTCAGCGTTGCATTCGTAAGATGGATCATCACTGTCCATGGGTCAATAATTGTGTAGGAGAAAATAATCAGAAATATTTTGTGCTTTTTACAGTAAGTACTGTTTCTTTTGAGCTCCAATTTAGTATTCTTTGTTTTGTACATACCAGTTAATTCTTTTAAAAAAAAAGCTCTTGAGCATGATAAAGTTAGAAATTGGGCAAACAAAAAAAATCATTTTTAAATGTTATATGAGTGTAAAAATATATAATTTATACACATGATTTATCTATGTACCATATTTTTAGAATATGTTTTATCTTAAAGTGTATATATGTTTCTGCTGTAACTATTTTACGTTTAAAGATATCAAAACTCTGAGAGGGCCATAACAAAGCAAATGGAGTAAAAAGGCAAATTTAATAATCTATAAGAGACTGAAGAAAGGTATCATCTCAAAGCATGGTCCAGATAACGAATTTTCATTAAGAGACTTCAAGGAATGCTAAAGGATTGTACTAGAAATTATTACAAAATAGATGTTACAGGTTTTATACTAAGAATTGAACAGGGTCTTTATTGGTGCTTTAGAATCACAGAAATAATTATGCAAGATTTGGAAAGTTTCTTATAGAACCTCAAAAAGATTCTGACCTTATCCAATTGAATAATGTACATTTTCAAACAAGATTTCCTCATGTACAATTGGGTAACGGTATAAGAAGAAATTATATCCTGTAGGATTATGTAAATTGCATAAAGCTTCTTATTTGAAACTAAATATGATCTTACAATGTTTTATAAAGTTTTATTCATAACAGATTTTAGATATTATGTATTCCAAACATCTAAAGTTTTTCCATGGTTTTTGTAGCCAGAATCAAAATGAAACAAAACATTTTTTTGAATCATGAAAACACATTTACATGTGCATAAAATTCAACCAGACATAGTTTATTCAGTTTCAATAAATCCCTTTTTAGCCACTGTTACATATTAGAATTTCAAATGGTCTGAAATTGAGTTAATTGATAAATTTAAATTTAGCAGTTAAACTGTACTTTGGACTAAGTAGTTAAGTAAAAGCCGATATATAGTCAGTTTATGATATTTGCCAACAAGATTGATACACAGTTTTCTTTTTTAACACAAATACGTTTTAATATACACACAACTATACAATAACAATTATTACAAACATTAATTTATAAACAAAAGTTTTACAAACTTTTAAGCAACATAAAGTCTTCTTTCTAGTTTGGAACTTCCTTGATATCTTATCGAGAGCTCATGATGAGTGAGTTGATTACGAGTTGATATAGGTACAATTCACTTAGTAGGGAGCTAGCAAGCTCTGTAGTTCTCGCTGATCACATGCCGATTACAGGTTGAGTTTCACCAATGACATTAGATAATGTTTTCATAAAAGTACTGATGTCTGATGTGAATCCACTAAAGTTGAATGATTTGTAATGTTTGAAATTTATAAATGTTCCTGGTCAATGTATCTGAAGTTTCCGATTAATAAGCGTTAATCATAGTTGTAGCTTGTGAAGTTTTTTTAGCACACCAAATATAGCAAACCAATAATAGATACTCTCTTTTGGTGTGTCGCGTTGGTTATATTTATAGGCTGTGGAGGCATTTTAGAAATTTCAAT